TCAATATTCTGAACATTTATTGTCTTAATATGATATCCATTTAAACAAATATCTTTAAAACTCAATAAATTTTTGTAGGACTTAGGAGAGAATAATGCATTATCTATAATCAAATTTGTCAATTTAGGTAGTAATATATTTGCTCTTCCGGAGCCATTAATTAAATTAACACTACCGGATATAGTGTTAACATTAGTCTTACCCATCATTAAATTGGAGAAATACCTTTTATTTTTAAGTATAGTATGTGTGGTTGCACTATCCACGAGGCATAGATTCTCCTCCATGACGTTTAAACCAATTGTAAACTTGGTAATATCAATATATTCTTCATAAACACAAAAAAAAACAAATAAATAAAAATGGTAATTAATATGATGAAATAAAAATCAAATATAAAAATTCTTTATTTATCAAAAAGGTAACAAAATTTCAAACAATTATCATTAACCTAATAATTTTTTCTTTCGGAATCTTCAAAGAAATCAACAACATCTAAATGTGTTAAGTTACCGAAATCTTCGAGAGGAACATTGTCATAAATATTATTTTGATATACAAAATTTTTCTCTCTATCACTTTCTTTCTTTTTCAATGAGGCTTGATAAAGCTTAACTAGGTGTTTTGGTGTACGATAAGTACGCGACCAATGTCCCTTCATATCACATCTATAACATTCATTTTCGAAGTGTCGACTTGATCCACCTTTATTCTTTTCTCGTTTCTTTTCATAATTTATTCACTTCTGGGATGAGGTGTATTATTATTATCAATACGATTATGACGATAATTATTCCGATCATGACTATTGCAACGATCACGTCCAAGTCCATGGCTATGACCACGACCACGTCCAATCCTAAAATTATTATAAGATGTCACATTCACTTCGGGGAATGGAGTAGATCTAGTTGGGCGGGATTCATGATTTTTCTTCGGTAGCTCGTTATTTTGTTCATCCACAAGTAAGCATGAAATCAATTTAGAGTATTTCTTAAAACGTTTTTCTCGATATTACTGTCATGGAGCATATTCGAGGCATGAAAAGTAGAGAATGTTTTCTCTAATATATCGAATTAGTAATATTTTCTTCACATAATTTTAGTTGAGAACCGATTCTAAATACCGTAGAATTATACTCATGATTTTAAAATCTTGTAACCTTAAGTGCATCCAATCATAACGAGCTTTTGGAAGAATTATCGTCTTTTGGTGGTTGTATCTTTCCTCTAAATTTTTCCACAGTTCAAGTGGATCTTTCGAGTGTTAAATATTCAGTTTTCAAATCCTCATGGAGATGATGACGAAGGAAGATCATTGCCTTAACATGGTTTTGCAAGGATTCTTGATTATCATCCATGATTGTTTATCCAAGGCCATTAGCATTTAAATGTATCTCAAGCATCAAGCATCCATGATAAATAATTCTGGCCCGAAAAGTCAAGGGCCATAAAATCAAGCTTTGTGAGGTTTGACATGATAAAAATTCTATAATACAAGATATAATAATGATGTTAGAAAATAAAAAAAAACATAATAATAATATTCAAACTTCTCAAAACAATATGCATTAGATTATTAAAATATATATTAGATTATTCAAGTTTTCAAATATATATTATATGTACTATTAGATTTAAAATAAAAGATAGATTAGGTACATATCTCTTAATAGGCTAGATGATTTACGTCGTTTGGTAGAACAATCGTGCCGATAACATGTTGTGAAAAATAAAAGTAATATGAGAATTTAAAGGAAGGATGACAAGAAGAAGAATTCACTATAAAGTGAATACAAGTGAGAAAAACTTCAAGTTATTCTCTTAATCTCTCTAAAAACTTATACATCAACAAATAAACAATCAAGCCTATTTATAGGCCTCAAAATTAAGATGAGAATTGGAAGGGACTATGAATAATTAAAATTACATCAATTGCATCACCCTTTCAATTTCTCATATTGAATGGTGAATTGAATCACATTAAGGATCATGAGTAGTGAGGATATGAAAAGTAGATGGACATTCATATGGATATTTATTATTTTATAATAGGTCTCAATTTATTATTATCGATTAATTGTTTAGGTTAACATAAATGGATTGATTATGTTGCTGATTGAAATGGATTCCGTAACTATCCAAAAGTAAATATCATGGTTACCAATCACGTTGAAGATGTGTTGTTACATGCTCGATTTGACGATACAAAATTAACTAACTAATTATAGATAGAAATTTTTTGTTGTTTTGATATGGATCAAAACTCTATAATAAATGAATTGAATTGATAATGCAATTTGCATAATATAAGATTTTGGTCGTACAAAGATGAGCGCGAGTATTGTGACATGATCAATGTTCATGTTTTATTTTTGAGATGTATTTGAAAGATTGACTTAGTATTTTAGAGCACGATCCACTAAAAAATGACCTAATTGTTACTTGTTTTATCTTTTATTAGCAAGTTAATGCAGATTAGCTATTTTTTTTAGTCTATTCTCTTTTGTTTGACTCAAATCCTATTGTCAAACCTCAATGACATAGAATAATTTTAGTGGTTAAAGATTATCTTTTCTTTTTTCTTCTTTCTTTTTTTTTGCTATGAATAACAATTTCGGATCAATTGTAAGAGGATTTCAACTTTTGCTCATATTTTGCTAAACACAGTTTTCTTTCATAACTCTTCTGCTCTCATAATTCATAATTCTCAAAAGTCCATCTATTAAACTTTGATCACTTATCCACTCGCTATTTGATTTGAGTCTTGCTAGTATCATTATCGAATTTCGCTAAATAGCAATGTAAATTAGTGACGGATAGACATCCTTCTCTAAATAAAAAGCAAATAGCGACAAAAGAACGACCGTTTGAATCAGCAATGGAATCGAGATGTAATAGCGATCGTTAGTCACGAAATAGAGATGCAATTTTTTTTTATATAATTAATATGTATCGCTAAACATATTTTTTAATAAAAAAATAGTATTTAAAAGTCATTTTAAAAACTCAACAAAGAGAAAACCACATTGCTTCATAATACATAATCAAATTCTAGTCACTAAATATTATTGGAAAAGGTCTACCAATGCAAGACGAAAATTATAAAAAGAAGAAGATAATCTTTAACCGCTCATCTATAAACTTTGACCACTCATCCACGACTATTTTTTTTATTTGACTCAAATCCTATTATCCAAACCTTAATGACATAGCATGATTTTAGCGAGTTAAAGATTATCTTTTTTTTTTTTTAACTATAAATAATAATTTTACATCAATTGTAAGAGGATTTAAACTTTTGCTCATATTTTGCTAAAAAATTTTTTCTTTCAAAACTCTCACTCTTAAAATTCATAATCGTCAAAACTCCATCTATTAAAATTTGGCCACTCATCCACTCGCTATTTGATTTTAGTCTTGCTAGTACCACTATCATAATTTTGCTTACTAGTGACAAACAAATGTTCGTCTCTAAATAGAAAGCAAATAATGATAGAATAATGACTTGTTTGAATTAATGACAAAATAGAGATGGAATAACAATGGTTTATTAGTGACAAATACTAATCTATCGCTAAATTTGGTGAGAAAATCTTTTCAAGAGTTTTAGATACGGTTGAGCAAAGGATTTGATGGAAAAAGTAGGAACAAAATAGCAAATTGATTTTCTAATTTTAATGTCATAATTTAGTGACGGAAAAAGACACATCCCTTGTAATTTAGCAATAAGAAAATCCTCCACTAAAGGTTAGAATTTAGGCAAAATTAGATAGACTTTTTGAAAGGCAAAACTATCGGGCGTGGCTTGAATAATTGCAAATAAGAGCATATAAGTTAAAGAAAGGAGCTAGACAAAGAATGATGATGGGCTGTCCGAAAATGAACGAGCTAGCAGAAAAGTTTCACGAGATTGCTTTATAGATGAAAAAGATGCGTAAGAGCAAGAATTCGATGATTCTCTTGATGACCCGAAGACCTAATAAAACTTGGATAGCATCTAACTTTCTTAAAAGAAAATAAAAATAAAAATAAAATTGTAGAGCCAAGCTAATAATTAATTTGTGGAAGTGATAGGTGTGAAGAAAAGAACAAATAATAGTGTTGTACCAAAAGAAAGGAAAGAATTTAGTTAGGAATAATAATTTTCTGCTGTTCAAGAAGTAGGAATTCCTCCTATATAACACATATAGTGATTATAATGGGTGAGTGTAAAACAAATATCTATTTTATCCGATCTAATAAATATTCATTAAAAATGTTCAACGAGGTCTTGAAGTGGATCAGGATAAAAAAATATATATTAATTAACATAGTTTCAAGATATGTGTACTCTCTCTTCATTCTATTAATACCCAATAATTTATCTTAATTTTTTTATTAACATGTAGAGATCTAATTGCATAATGTTTAAAAATTAAGGACCAATTTTTTTTTCAAAAATTTTGAGGACTAAACAAACATATAAATAAATGACCGAGTGCAAAAAAATAAAATTTTAAGGACAAATAACTTTGATTGAAAATTATAAAGACTAAAATAAATATTTTTAATAAATTAATTTTAGCGAGATATTAAATAGTACTAAATGGACGGATAAACTTATATAAGCTAGATATAAGCTAAGTAAAGATTTATATGATGATTTCTTAATAGATAATGAGTAACATATTCTTTTTATGGATAGGGTAAAAAATTAAATTAATAGGCCAGGTATCCACCCATTACCATCCCTAAACACATAGCATCTTTCAATCTCATATGTAGGTAGTATTAATAATATTTTTATTTTCAATCAATTAGAATCTTTGGTTTTATCATCATTTTTTTTTTGTGGAAAATTAACATTTTTATTATAGATGATTGGTTTGGATTTTCAGTAGTTTTTTTAAATGATAATGTCATCTAATATGTGAATGGTATAAGAAAATGTCATGCATTGAACAGAAGAATTTCCTACAACTGTCGGCAGCAAGATATTATTGTTTAGAGAATTCAAACCCTTAAGCCTCACTTCAAATATTTTAAATGTGATCTTCCTTATCTCAGTTAAGAACTCAATTGGCTCCTCTCTGCTAGCCCATTCATCCAAAGAAGTTGTTATGGCATTCTTGATATATTCATGGTACATGGTTAGAGCTTGGTGTCCATTGATTGGTGCTGCAGTTAGCTTGCGCAGGCGCTTGTGTTCCTGATCTGAAAGGCCCACAAATGATCTTCTCCCAAGCAATTGATGGGTGACTTTAGGCCAGCCATTTTTGAATCTTTTGTCATCCATTAAGATTTGTCTGCATGTTTCAGGCAAAGTAACGATGATGCTTGGACTTCCAAACATAAAGGCCTTGTAAACACCCGTCCGACCAAATCTGCAATTCCAAAAAGAAAAACGAAGAAAATAATGATTCTAAAGAAAAATTATATTTTGACAAGCATCACGAACCATGAAGTGGAGCCGTTTTTGAAACACCAGTTTTCATGGTTCCAAAGAATAGGCTCCACAAAAAGGTTCTTGCCCCTTCAATTGTCTTGCAACCTTGAAATTATTTCTTGCGGGAATAAACTAGTGAAGTTTCCCATTGATATTGTACAACATTTTCGCTTCAAAAGCAGAGCTTCGAAAAAGCAAATATTCCAGGACAAGGAAGACTTATCATGAAATGAGTGGTTTAAAAGCATAAGATATTCCTACATATGTATCAACCCATTTTGGATAGTTCTTGAGATGGATTAGTGACAAATTAACGAGAGGATTGTGTCCATCGCTATTTTGTAATCTCTAATTAAACCCCTTTCTTCTTCCTCATCTCCCATTTTCTTCTCCCTCTTCTTCTCCAACCAGCAATCGCTAGTCTCTCCTTTTCCAAACCACCACCAAACTTCACTTTTCTACTCTTAATCGATCCACACCCAATTCAAGGTCTTTTCTTTTAGAAAAAACTCTCACTTTTTCCTTCCTTCCTTTCTCTCAGTGTAATTCTACTTGAATTAAGTAAGCTTTTTCTTTCTTTTATTTTCTTAATTAAAATTAGTAATTTATAGTAATTGTTAGGTTAATTTTAAGTTTAATTACTTAATTTATAATTACGTATAAATTTAATTATTATTTTATTGATTTATTTATTAAATTATTAATTTTTGTTAATTGTTAGGTTAATTTGTTGATTAATTTGTTAAATTATTAAGTTAATCGGTTACTTAATTGCAATTGAAATTTAATCAAAATTAATTTTTAATTAATTAATTAATTATATTTATATTTAGTTAATTAATTATGTTAATTATGTTTAATTGGTTGAATTAGACTAAATTTGTAAATTAATTGTTTAATTTTTCTTAATTAAGTTAATTTAATTGTTATTTAAAATTTAATTTGGTTAGCATTAGAATTAATTAAGTTAATTTATAATTAATTAATTAATTAATTAATTAATTAAGTTCATTATGTTTAATTAGTTTAATTATAAGTTTATGTATGAAAAACCAATGAGAATTTGATTCGTTGAACTTCTCATGTGGTGACCATGACGGTTTGCCTTAGATAACGCAATATATGTTTGACATTAATCCAATGATCCGCATGATGTGAACCCCACGTATAAAGACGAGAGATCCAAATACCTTTATCACTAGACAATCCCGAGAACATGCCCAATCATGTTATAATAAACGAAACCCATCCCGTTGCCTATAAGGAGGAAAAAACCGAAGCTATGTTACAATGGAGTGAAGAACGCCACTCCCATAGAGGATGATAAGTTCGGAGATGCCACAAGGGTTATAGTCATTGATAAGTCGATTTGGTTCTTAAAAGAACAAAGGAAGAAATTCTCTCAAATTTATTAACTCTTCAAATTATTACATGAGTCTAAAACAAATCTAAACCAATTATTTAACCCTAAAAGGACTCTACACATCCTTGACACCTAAGGAGAATAGAAACAAACCCTAATAGACTTAAAAACATATGCAAAAAATAGGGCTTAAAACATATAACCCAACTTAATTAATTAGTTCTAATTATAATTAAGTTGGGCTTAAAACATTGAGTCCGAATCTAACTTAATTAATTAGTTCTAATTATAATAAAGTAGATATAATAAAATAGGCCAAATATGATTTAAGGAGTCCAATCTTAGACTTAGATCGGATTGACAAGTTTTAGATTCCCTCCTCTCTTAAGATGGCGTCACATTGCTCTCATGGGCCCTTGGAAGTGTATTCGCCCAATACTCTTGAATCAACCCATATAGAGCTTATTTAAGCTTCTTAGCCCTAGCTCGCATCATTAGACCATCTTTAATGTGTAATGGATCGGATCTTGGACTTGTAAACTCACCATCTTAGACCTCTTTTGGATGCACCACATTGCACCATTTGGCTCCATGGTTTCCATCATTCCCTCCCTCTTTAAAATGATTCATCCTTGAATCTTCTCTCGTCAACATCTACATTAAAAGGAGAGAGATTAGAAACATTAAAAGTAGCACTAATTCCATACTCACTCATCAAATCAAGCTTATAAGCATTGCCATTGACTCTTGCAACCACTTGAAAAGGGCCATCTCCACGTGGTAACATCTTAGAATCCGTTAACTCTGGAAAATGCTCCTTGCTCATATACACCTAAACCCAATCGCCCGGTTCAAAGATAACTTTCTTTCTTCCCTTATTGGCCTTTGTTGCATACTATTCATTCATTTTTTTTTTAATGTGTTTTTGTACCTTTTCATGCAAGACTTCATCAATTTTGCTTTCTTCTCACCATCTAAGCTAGAATACTTATTGTAATAACCCAAATTAAAAAAAAAGGATTGGTATAAATAGGAGCAATAATTGCTCTTATTTCCAGCATTTCTCTCATTCTTTCTCCTCTCCCTCTCTCACGTTTTTCACTCTTAAAATCCCTCCCTACTTTCACCTCAATTCCTAAGCTATTTCATTGTTAAATTAGCTTAGGGGAACCATACATTAGAAGATTTAGAAGATTTAAATGGAGTCTAGCTGGCTTGGAGTTTTGGAAGCTTGGAAAGTTAGGAAGAAATTGAGATTTGAGGAGCTTAGTGTAAAGGTAAGAATTTTGATCAATTTGTCTTTGAATTATGAAGTTTATATGTATTTAATGATGATATTGAATTGAGATTGCTTTGGTTAATGAATTTCTTAGATTTAGGTTAGGGTTCTGAGACTCGGATGGGGAAAAATTTAATTAAGTGATCCTAGGTGTTTAATTGATGTTTAATTATCTTAGGTAAGTGAATTAAAGAGTTAATTTGAAGTAAAATTGAATGAATTTGAGAATTTAAGAGGTTGAAGATGATGAATAGTGATAAATTTGAATTTAGGTTTTAATTAGAGAGAATTTTAGGAAAAAAAAGAGGAATTAAGTTATAAAAGTGCAATTAAAGATGAATGGAGTGATTATTGGGTGAATTGGAATATAATTGATCATTTAATCAAATTAAGGGCTAGTTGATTGTTAAAGGATGGATTGAAGATTGGTAAAGGAATATGATTAAGAGATTAATTAGAATCAATTGAGGGATCATAGAATCTAATTAGGTTATCAAATCAACTCTTCTCATTTAATTCCATTTTGTTCGATAATCTTATATGCTTGCTTTTATTATCTTGAATCATTCCTTAAGATATGATATTGATGGATGCCCCATCATTTGTGATGCTAGATTTTTCAAAGCGGGTGACTCCATCCCAACCGTTTTGACTTCCTTTTGGTTCGAGCATTTGCACAACAAGTGGATATTATATTGTGTACTATATTTTAAAGTTCTTGATTGTCCATCATGCATCATTAGTTATGAAAGATTTATAAGCATTCTAGTAAAACTTAGATGGGAACAAATGTTCTAAATATTTGAATCTTTTTCGTATCAAAATGACTTGATATGAACGAAAAAGAGATTTCAAGGTGTTTTTGAAATTAATATGCAATTTTGGATTTGAATGATTATGTTATGTTCGTTATTTTGAGTACATGTATTTTTATGAAAATACATGTATGGTATGTGAAATACCAATTTGAAAATGTATAAGTGTATTCGATTTTTAAAAATATTTTCGAGACCACTAGGGAACCTAGCTATTGGTGGGAGGGTAGCCTTTGAGCTCAATGATACAAGGCTCCATCTAGCAAGAGAGGTGTAGTGTGTGTGTGTGTGTGTGTTTGTTTTTGTATGAGTATGATATATGTATGAACAAATGATTGACAAACTAATGTGGAATGTTTTTAAACCTTTTGGATTTGTGATATGAAATGTGTTTTTGATATGCATATGTTTTTAAGGAATAAGCATTACATTTTGAGATGGATTTGAGAACATTATCCATAGTCCATTTTCATTCCTTAGTAAATTATATAATGTCTACTTATTGAGCCATGGTTTGCTCACCTCTCATTATTTTAATTTTACATGATATTGAGAGATTAGCTATTGCTTCCTTTTGGTATTTTTTGTGAAGTCGGCACTTTCCGTTGTTGTAGGTGCCCAGGATCCAATAATGTTTGGATGAGCTTGAATTAATGTATTATTACATTATTTATTTTAATAATAATAAAAAATTCATTATATTAATCTTGTGTTTTATGTTTGTAAATTCAATAGAATTAGATAGAAGTCTTTATGATATGCATTTGCAATAGTGATTGATCGAAAGATGTGAGACAAACACTAATGCACATAAATGATATCATTAAATATTCAAAGTCATAGCATTGTCAAGAGTGAATATTGGCTATATATGGATAGATTTGTAAGAGCTATGCTTATGCTATATGATAGCAGTAGGAGATCTCACACCTATTGGCATGGTGATACCAAAGCAAGTAGTTAGGTGATTTATGTTAGAGAACATATCACTGGACTTGACTCATCATGAGAATGCATTTGGTTTTAGTCTATGAGAATCTTATATGAGATGGGTGCAAAATAGTCCTTAGAATTGAAGTTATCACGGTTGTCTCATTAGAGGACTTATACACTTTGACACTTGTTTCGATGGACCTATTAAAGGGTTGGACGTGGGCGATTCGTTGGGTGCATTAGGAGTCTAATGGAGGTAGGTGTATGACTAAGATCGGACATGTCATTTCTTGTATGCTAAAGGAGTTATCACATTGCACTTCGATAAATATTTGCTTAAGAAATCTATGGTCATAGTAGAAGTATACCAATAGAGCATAGTTGGTTTACTCTAAGAGCTAAAATATTTGACAATCGAAGAAAAATTTTATGATCATAATCAAACAAGACTTATAACCAAGTTTGAGATCACACTATGATGAGTTGACATAAGGATTGAATTGTATGGTAACTATGATCGTGAAAGGTAATAAAGGATTAATTAATCC